TTAGAATTAGTCTATAATTGGGTAGTGGCCCACAAGCTTTCAGTTTACAGGACTAAATTGGATATTGGACGTAAGCGATTTCAGTTAAGCCACGTCAAACTGCAATTACCATTTGCATGGCTAATAAATGTGTAGGCTAATTGAATATCGGGTGGAGTAAAAATTAGATATGCGGAAAGGTTATCAGAACTCAACGATGGCTGTAATAATCATATAATCAAATTGTTTTTAAAAATTTTAGATGAAAAAAAATCTCATAAAACCAGTCAAAAGAGACAGATCGCTTACATAAAAAGCATTCAATAAATACAGAACACAGTTTTGTGGGTGAAAAATTGTATTTTTCAACCATACATTTAGGGCATTTCATGGTTAATTTCACAGATTTAAACAAATTCAAAATTTTGAGTGCATGTCGGCGGCGCAGCAGTCGTGGGATGGGCTGGTTGCGCGGGGAAATCCACTGGAGTCCCGCCCGTCATCGCTGCCCAGTGTCCCTCCCTTGCGCAGAGCTTGTTGTTATTTGTGTAAGTTAGTGGAAACGGAAACGGAACTGTTGAACTCTTCGATCGCTGGGCCGCGGCAACAACCATTCATCGAGGTGATCGGGTGGAGGAGCGGGTTTCGACGGCGTCCCAGGCGGCGGAGCTGCGATCCCGCTTAGCTGCAGCAGCTGGCCGGTGTGGGGTCCAATCCGGAGCGCTTGGTGATGCTCAGCCGGGTGAACTCTTCGGCGGTTGTGGGGTGAATGCCCACGGTGTTGATCAGCGTGTTGATGGTCAGGCCGGACTTCAGGGCGGCAGCGAATCCCTGGATCACCTCACCGGCAACGGGTCCGAGGTAGTGCAGTCCGTAGACGCGTTGGTCGCCATGGCGCTCAGCCACCGCCTTCAAGTAGCAGTAGCGCACGCTCTTCTGGGGAATGAAGAACTCCGTGGGCTTGTAGTAGCCGTGGAAGACCTCCACCTCATCGGCTCCGTACTGCTTCACGGCGTCCTCCTCGCTGAGGCCCACACAGGCGTACTCCAGGGGTGTGAACACGGTGGTGGCCACATCGTTGTAGTCCATGCGCTGGGTGGCTCCTCCGTACAGGCGGCGGGCCAGCAGACGACCAGCCAGCACGGCCACGGGCGTCAGCTCCGGCTTGCCGTAGATGATGTCGCCGACGGCGTAGATGTTCGCAACGTTGGTGGCCTCCTGCGAGTCCACTGGAATCTTGTCCTTCTGCACGCTGACGCCGGCATTGGGCAGGTTCAGATCGTCCACAAGACCCTTGCGGCCGATGGCCCACAGCACGGTGTCGAAAAGCTCCTCAGCCTCCTCGCCAGTCTCAGTGTTCTGGTACTTGACCAGCAGCTTGCCGTCATCCTGCTTCTCAACGGACAGCGGCACCGATTTGCGCAGGAAGGGAATGCCGCGCTCCTCCATCGAGGAGGCCACCAGCTCGGCCATCTGCTGGTCGAAGCCGCGCAGCACAATGGAGCGCACCATCACGGTGGGCTCGTAGCCGAGACCCTTCAGGAATCCGGCGCACTCCAGGCCGATGTCTGGATGGGATGGGAAGAGAAGAGAATCGGTGAAATGGGTTGCAAGTTACAATTAAAGCTGCCACTTACAGCCAGCACCCACAACCAAGGTCTTGCCGGGTTCGCGATCCAAACTGAACAGATCGTCGCTTGTGATGCCGTGCTCCACGGCTCCGGGAATGTCCGGATAGCGGGGACGGCCGCCCACTGCGATGACGAAGGTCTGGGCGGTGATTGTGCGCTCGCCGCTCTTCAGCTTGGCCAGCATGGTGTGCGAGTCCACAAATGAGCCCAGTCCATTGATGTACTCCACTTTCCTTAAGGGGAAAAGAAAGACCGTGTCGTATAGTTAATAGAGATTCTTAATCAGAGCCTGTGCCACACTTACTTGTCGCGCAGATCCACACGGGTCACCCAGTTGACGGACTTGATGTGGTTCTGTACCGACTGCACCAGTTTGTTCCAGTCGGGCTTGATCTTGTCGTCCACGTTCCAGCCGTAGGCGGCAGCCTCATGGACAGCCTCGCCCAGGAGCGAGGCCTGGTGCATCAGCTTCTTGGGGATGCAGCCCACATTCACGCAGGTGCCGCCAACGCCCCATTTGGTGCCCAGAGTGGGCGTGGGCTTCACGTAGTCCAGGCAGGCCACACGGGCTCCATTGAGCACGGCCTCCTTGGCGCAGGCCAGACCAGCTGATCCGCCGCCAATCACAATTAGATCGTAGTCGTAGGTTCCTGCAAGATATAGAAGGGATTGGGTGATTACTCGAATGGTTTTTGGGGTATATATCCATAATTGAATTGGTTAAAACCTAAAATCAAACATTTTATGCAGGTCACAAGACATCTAAACCATATTTTTTTGAGGTATACCATTTCGAAAGCAGCATAAAGAGGTTAAGAAAATATCTAGGCCACTTTTTAGAAAATTCTGTTATTAGGAAGTCATAACATGACTTTTTGGGGATTACCCATACTTCCATTTGTTCGCTCACGCACACCTAAAGTGTCCTCAAACCCTTATCACTGCTAGACACTAAGATGGTTATTACTTGTTATTTGCTGCTTAACCCGTATCTAGTTTAGTTTTGAAAGCTTATCACTGATAGGTAATCATGTCACAATCCAGACTTTTTAACTTCCCAAGTTCTTTGCTCTACAACTACTATCTTTTAACGATGGCTGATTATTAATCATGACCCATTCCTGCCTTTGACGAACTCCTCGCGCAGTCGTATGTCCAGATAGGCGGATCGGTAGATGCTCCTCCGGTGGCGCGGTTCACCCTCGACCAGCTGGGAAGCGGGCACAAACTCGAACAGATGCATCCAGACCGAGACGGGGACCAAGACTGTATGGCCAACTGTAATCCGCAATCAGCACCTGCACCTTGCAATCTGGGCCTCCTTTTTTTTCCGCCGGCAGGAAGCGCTTTCTAGAGATGCCAGGTGGCGATAGCGATAGCGGTGCCAAGTGCCACATGCCACTGGGTCAGAGGGTTCGAATCAAACTGGAGCAATCATCTGGCGACATGGCCGCCGACCACGCCCCCTGTCCACCCACGCCCTTACGCCCATTGGTTTGCTTTGACTCGCTGGATTTTGCCATGGTTACGCCCCAAAACTAGTTGGCAACACCAGTCCTTATCGGCTGGAACACGCCCCCGTCCGCCCACTTGTGTTTGCCTGCTCCCGCCCAGAAATCCAGGCAATCGGAAAATCGTGCGATATAAACAATTGTCGTCACGCTGCATTTAATTGCGGAATTAAATGACGATGACGATGACGGAGCTATACGCTGCAAGTACGAAAGATTCCTGCTTGCCAGGCAGATACAGATACAGATACGGATTCAGATATGGTGAAATCATCATGGGCACGGGCACCCTATAAAGCGATTCTCGAACAATCCGCAAAGGTAGTTCGAGAGCATCTAACGAAATTACGACACATATGCATATTGGGGCACTAACAAATCTATCATACTGCTAAATGCAATTTATATTTATTTATACAATTTTCTTTGCTGTTTCGAGTGGTAAAAGCTTTGACATGAAGATGGATTGGGCAATTATTTATTCAGCAAGAAAACTTGATCTTGCGCTGTTAAAATATATATAAATGAATAGCCAATCAATATGTTTATTAGCACATAAATATATGCCAATGATATTTAACAAATAAAGATTATATTTTGTATTTGAAAGAAGATATTGTATATTTTTGAACTATTTTAGGGGAGAAACAGATGTAGAAAGTTTTAAATTATTTTTAAATAGTACAATACTAATACAAATAATAATAATAATAATACAACCATAAAAACCTAACTTATGATTGCATTTTTGAAGTGTTGAAATTAAATGTTATTTTTATTACTAGTTTGGTTAAAGCCCCGATTTTCCTTGAAAAATTAAACTATGCGTTAGAGAGCTGTACAAAAATGAATAGTATATGTTAATCTCTAAATATTAATAGTGACTAATGGGTTTTATGCATTATTTCATCAAGATATTAAAAAACAGGAAGTATGAAATGAGTGAGTCAGAACTTTGTTGACCATTATACTTAGAAGATGCGCCCTTTTTAGCGCCCAAGACAAGAGCACAAATCATGTACTTGAGCATGATAAGGAAGTGCTAACAATGCGACCCCGACTGTAATTCCAGTTGGACTGGGTGCGATGACGATTGACGATGACGTTGCAAATGTGAAGTAAATGCCGGCATAAAACCTTTGCGAATACGTGCCGCAGGTAGAAACCCGATAAGCCAAGGGAGCAAAGTAATGGTTATTGCATAATAATGGCGGCGGGTTAACACAAGAAGCCCACAAAAACAGCAAAATCACACCGCACACTTGTGGAAACCCAACAACTATCGACCGCGTTGCCAATGTGGATCGTCGGCAATCGATATCGGCTCACCTCCTTTGGTCCTCATCTTCCGCACCGGTTGTTCGTACATGGCAGCCCGGTCGCAATGGGGATGCTGGAAGGGGGGCGCACCGCCAACCCCCGCCGCTCCAGCCGGCCCTGGACTTCCAGAACTATCGCGTGATCCTCGGTGTCCCGAGCTCATGGTTCGATGTGCACTGAAACTACTGGAACAACTACTGACACGGCCGTTTATCGAGGAGCACTTGTTTTGTAGTATGCTAGACGTAAAAATCGTCGAGCACTGCCGCACGAATGTAACGGAGAGTCTCGAGTTGCACAAGTTCATCTTGGCAGCTCCCCTTCTCTACCCCTTTCCAATAATTGGCTTGGCTGGAATAAACTTTCGCGAAAGGGCACAAAAAGACGGAGGAACACAACACAAACACGTCGCTGGTCTTTGCGGGAATGCTGCGAATGCGGTGGGCAGGCAGACGCGCCGATAAAAGGCTACGTAACAGAAGCAGAGAGAAAAGATAGCGGCGCAGATGCGAAAGCGGTGGGCAAAGAGGATTGGCAGAGGAATAAGAATTGGAAAATTGCAAAATGCCAATTGGCAGATGGGGAAGGCAACAGTTTTGCCGAAATAGTCCAATAAGAAATTTAAAACGTTTCTAATTGGACGCTCGTTTAGCAATGCGCAGTATCGATAACTTGCGGATGGTTGGCAACACTGCCCGCAGCCGGCCGTCAAATTATTTCTACGCCTGATTTTGTTTCTACGCTTGTGTTACGGCAATTTAGTCGGGCGATAAGCACGGAGAGATCTGGTGAAATCAACAGACGGAACAATCCAATACCGCCCTTTATTGCACCTCACTGCTTAATTAGTTTGGGCTTTTATCTCAAGTGCGCGATTAGATTTTGACGATTTGTCGGAGAAACTTGGATCGCAGGAACGCAGAAACCGGAGAAGAAACATGAACTCCATCCTGATAACCGGCTGCAACCGGGGACTGGGTCTGGGACTGGTCAGGGCCCTGGTGAATCTTCCCCAGCCGCCGCAGCATCTGTTCACCACTTGCCGGAATCGCGCACAGGCCACGGTAAGGGGTCTTTTTTTTTGGTAGACGGTCCAGTAGCCGGTTAGATGACTCACATTCCCCCAGAAACTAGAAACTACGCGAACAATCCGCAAGAACCACTTAATAATGCCCCGCTAATTCCCGCCTTTCGATCGAAAACTCACCTTGCACGGGCGCCATTATCTGAGTTTGTGGCAGTCTCTCCAGGTAAATAAGACCGAAAACAAGGATGAACGGTGGATAGGTAATGTTGCGGCAACGCGGAAGTGGAAAAGCTGTTGCTGCGGTTCAACTGAGCGTGTTTTAGCGGCTAAACACTCGCGAAAGCACGAAACGAATAAGCGGAGATAAGTTTTGCAATAGCTTTTGTATGTTCCGTCTGGTGTGACCGCGGAAATATACCAAAAAAATTTAAAACACCATAAACGGTCACTTCGCAAATACCACAAAATATACCAGCTGGTAACGGAGCGGAAGTTTCGATACCGATTATTCTCTAAATATCTGCATTTAAATTTCGCTTTCGATTTTTGGGTACAGTTATTTGTTACATTTATACCTTTGTAGCTAGGCACAAAATTTAAAAAGAAGCCTATAACTTGACCAATTTAAGGCCGATTTAATAATCTTATAATCTGAATTTAAATTATTTAAATCTATTTTTTTTTTACCAAATTTGCTGACTTTGGTGACCCAAAACTGCAATTTTAAGGCCCTGATTTCAAAGTACCAAGCGTATGATTTAATTCTCAATTATCTGCATTAAAATGTATCTTTTTATTTTTGGTTAATTTTCTGACCCGTTGTTCTTAAGTTTCTCCTGCCTTTTAAAAGTGAAAAGATGATTTTAGCAATTTAAAACCGCTTAAAACGTGTCTTTTCTAGTGTCGGGTCAATTTATGGTAAATTTCTAGCAATTATAATAAACCTTTAACCCTTTTCCACCCACAGGAACTGGAGGATCTGGCCAAGCAGCACTCCAACATCCATATCTTTGAGATTGGTAAGTATGCTGACTCCATCAAATGCAAATAACTTATGCAAATAAATCTGCAGATCTGAGGAACTTTGAGGCCTATGACAAGCTAATCGCCGACATTGAGGGCGTGACCAAGGATAAGGGACTCAATGTGCTCTTCAATAACGCTGGCATAGCGCCCAAGTCGACCAGGATAACGGCCACTAAGTCGCAGGATCTGCTGGACGCACTCCACACCAACACGGTCGTGCCCATTATGCTGGCCAAGGCCTGCCTGCCGCTCCTGAAGAAGGCGGCCCAGGCGAACGAGGCCCAGCCGATGGGCGTGGCCCGTGCCGCCATCATCAACATGTCCTCGATCCTGGGCTCGATTCAGGGGAATACGGATGGCGGCATGTACGCGTACCGCACCTCCAAGTCGGCCCTGAATGCGGCCACCAAGTCGCTGAGCATCGATCTGTTCCCGCAGCGCATCATGTGCGTCAGTCTGCATCCTGGCTGGGTGAAGACCGACATGGGCGGCAGCAATGCCCCCTTGGACGTGCCCACCAGCACTGGCCAGATTGTGGAGACGATCAGGAAGCTGGGCGAGAAGCAGAACGGCGGATTCGTCAACTATGATGGCTCACCATTGACTTGGTAGAGGATGCCGAAACTTATTTATACGCATTTTGTTTCTGCTTGTTAATTGTTGTTAAATAAACTGAACTCTCTAACGCCAAGAGTGCCTCAATAATTATGTGGTCTAAATTTTATTAAGATTAAATCACGATTCGTAAAACGCAGCGGAAATCTAATCCATATGTTTCCTTCCTAAACTGCGAATTGTAACATACAATTAGTTTTCACAAAGCGTTGGTTTACTTAACTCAACAATTAAAATTGTTGTTTTCTAATAAGACACATTTTGATAGCTACCATCATAAAATGCTTACTAAATGCAACTAAACTTCTTAAATTATGCAATTTTTGAAGATTAGTAAAACTTATGGTGTCGCTTTTTCCAAATTGATAAATAAAAGTCTTCATGTTTTTGGGCTCCAGCCCTCTATTAGCGTTTGTATTTCGTAAGGTGTCTTAAGTGGATAACATAGAAAAATATGGATTTTCCCAACCGCCCGAGACCACAGTAATTTCGAGTTCCTAGCCTATGCCCTCAATTGGGGCTATCTACGTGCTATTTCTGCCGTGGGGGCACCATGGCCACCGGCACCTTGGAGGGATCTATGCCGATGGCCTGGGCTAGGGGTGGCAGTCGCATCGTATTGGCATTGGGTCCCACCCCAAATCCCCCGCATCCGCTGCTCCGCCAGCCGTGCTGTAGGGATCGGGATAGGGGATCTGGCGCTGGGGCGGCACCATGGCCACGGGACGAGGTGAGGCCGCGTCCGTAAGTGGAGCCAGCAGGCCGCCAGACTGTCCGTCCAGCGGGTGGGCCACGCGCTTGCGAAGATCGAGGCGTGGCCGTCGATTGTTCGCGTTGCTGGACACGGCATCCGCCGATATCGGTGGCGGATCGTTCCAGCCGGGTGTCAGTGAGCCTGTCAGGTGGAACGGGGCAGAGGATTAGACGTCACCTGATCGAAAACCACGCCAAACTCACCTGGGAAGGCGCCCGATGGAGCTATGTTTTGCCCCGTTGGCGGTGGCGGTGGTGCAGCTGCCTGCTGCAGTAGTTGATGGTGGTTGCTTGACAGTGGTGGCGGTGGTGGTGCCATGATGACTTCTTTATCCGGATCCTGTGGCTCCGCTTGCTCCTCCGCTCGATCCTGGCCAGAAGTTCATGCAGTATGGTATGACCGTATTTGTTTACGCCGTGGGACCAGTGTTGGGAACTTCATAAATGCTTCTACCTAGGTACGTACCTAAATACAATTTGTAGTACTTTTTACTTTACCTAGGAACTACAATAAACGAGTACCACAAAATACACTAAGCTAGGTACTTGAATATTTATGAATATTCCAATAATATATCACATAAAATATATAACAAAATACTCAAAAAATGAACTTAAGTTCTGATTTTTTGGCCAAAACCCGGTCGAATTATGAATTCGTCGTTGAATTCGTTATACAATTTTAAATTAAGTGTCATTCCAAGAAATAATATCATTAAAAATATATTTCGCAATAAAATCATGGGGGTTCCCCTTGTCAAATATTTTTGGCCCAAATCCGGAAAAAAACCGCTTGGTTTTTCGAGTTTTTAATCAAAACCCTGGCAAATAGTGGTCGCATGTTGGAATACCTCGTCGAATTCGTAACAACAAAGTCCCGTTTACAGAAAAAGAATATCTTAAAAAAATGTTAGCAAAAAAATTATTACGCCTACCCCTTATAAAAAAAATGTTTGGCGAAAAATCGAAAAAAATCTGCTATATTTTATGGAATGCCATTCACAGCTAAACAAATTTATTTTAAACAGATTTTTGCCAAAAATAATGGTAGGAAAAATATTTTGTCAAAAATTCAGAGAAAATTTACTTTATTTTTCAGTGTTTCAATCAAAGCCCTAGGATATAATGGAATGTAATACATCGATGAATTCGTTATAAAATTTCCAATCAAGTGGCATTCACAGCTAAAAAAATTGATTTTTGACCAATTTTCGCAAATTCTCATGATTAGGAAAATATTTTATATTATCAAAATCCGGAAAAAAATTGCTCGATATTTTAGGTCGTCAGTTGCAGAAAACAAACAACGATTAATAGAAAAGTGTTAACTGAATAAATAAACAAGGCATAATTTGCAATTTCGGGCGTAAAAAAATGGTTGATTTTCAACCAAAAACTGCATCTTTAGATTTAATTTCTTACCAAAAAATCTTTTCTTTAAAAAGCTTCCCTTTTTGTATTATTTAACCTTCGGAAAACAATTAAACAAAATACACTTATTGAACCATCAACCAAGAAAAACGCTAGATGAATTTATATTTCTTGTTTTGTCTTTTTTTATTATTATTAATATTGTTATTTCATCTGACTCTGCCGCATTCTTGCGTTAGGGTTACTCATAAATGTCGTTAATTTCGTACAATGGCTATTAAACCGTGCCTATTTTGTAATCCGTTTTGTTTTTCTTTAGGTATTTGTTTCGTATTAAGTTTAGTTTTTGCTACACCACACACATACATAAATAAAAACTTAAACAGATTTACTGCACACACATTTTGTTTATACTTGCCTACAAAAAAAAATATTTTTGAATTTCATTTTTATAAGCCCCCGTCGTTTCCATTTCCGATTTCGATTTCGATTCGGTGGACTGGGAACATAACAATTTCGACTCCCAAGAATCCATCAGCGATCCAGATAAGATAAGATCTCGGGGACTCAATGGAAAACGGGAAAATGCAGCAAATCCGCATCCGCCAAAAGTAGATCGAAATGGAACTGGCGATCGGACCGTATATGTATATTTAGGTATATTTAGAAGTCATTCCATTTTAGAATCTTTCAAGTGTTTAACATTGCGTAACATAGTTTGCCATTTAACTTGACCCACTCGTTTTTCAATATAAAATTCTGGATGTTTCGGCCACTGGCTTCGGTTTTCCAATGAAATTTCTATAGAGTTCTCCTATTCATGTTATATTTCGTATCGCAACTATGTCGGTTCGTTAGTTAGTTAGTTGTGGTTGGAGTTGAAACCAACGTTATCTCCCGCCCTCCCTGTTCTCTAGACGAATTGGTTTAAATAATTAATTACAACAACATTTACTTGGGAAATTCTTTGTTTTTTGTTTTGTTTGCTTTGTTTGTTTTGACGCCTTAGCCTAATGCATTTTCTTGCCGGTTTACTATTTGCATTCGTTTATTGGTTTTTCCATTATCTTACAGTGCTTAAACTTGGCTAAATATTTTGTTTTTCCGTTTCCGTTTTTGTTTTTAACAATATCGCTCGTGGAGTGGTTTCTCTAAGTGATTCTCCTAAATCTTCGCATCATCATCATCTAGCTCCCATTTATTTATTTGTTATTTTTTTGTTTTTTTGGCAATGACTTACTGATTTTGTTGTTTCTCTTTTGAACGGTTTTTTTATTTTTTCGCTTTGCTCTTGCATTCGTTTTGTTAAAAATTAATTGTATTAAGTACGCTTCGATTTATAATTTATGTGTATGTATATCCGTATATTAAATATTTTATAAAGTAAATAGATTACGTAATTGCAACACTTGCATCTGCTTCTGTTTCTGAATTTGAATCTGTATCCATGGATTTCCCATCGGACAGCTGCCTACGGATCTGGCTCTGTGAACACCCGGAGTCGCTTATGGGTATTATTACACATTTTATTGGGTACTATCAAATCGATTCTGGCCTTTGGGCTCCTATTCCTTCCATCGCTCATTCGTTATTTTACAATTCCAATTTGCCCCTTTGAAATTAAGGAAGTGCTCAAGCTTAGTTTAAACAAAAAAATACGTTTACAATATAAGTTAGTGGTAGTCGTAAAAAAAAAAATATAAACGGCAATGCCACAGAAATCACTAATGATTTGAAATTACTTTTTAATTCTAGCATATAGCGCAATCTTCACAAAGTTGTAAACTTAACTGGTGATTCCATATAACTAGATTTTTCTGCGGCATCTCCAATAGTGGTTCATCGAACAACAAATTTTGTGAACATACATAAAGAGGTTGGAATGCTTTCAAAACAGGGAGAAACACACGATTAAAAACCTTTCGCTCTAAGACTAAAATGCATATATGCAACGAATAGTATAAATATATATATATATATAATATTGGAGGGGTATGGGGTAATCGCTTCGGCAGGCAAACCGAACTACTGGACTGGAATCGATCCTGCCCTCCGCTTCATGGCTCAATTGAAAATTGTATTTACAAAGAGTTTGGGTTTTTGGGGGTGTAGGCGGGTGGATCCTCGGGGGAAGTGGGCGTAGTAGATGTAGTGGGGATGGACAACACCCCATTATGACTCGTCGCGATTGTTGTGCACCCACTGGGCGGGCACCCATTGCGGCTCCCGTTCCAGCGAGTTTATCTCGGCCAGCAGCTGGTGGTAGGCGCGCTCCGTGTCGTTGTTGATGATGATCATATCAAATAGGTGACCCCAACGGGCCTCCATGTCCCTGGCCGTGGCAATGATGTCTTTGAGCTCTTCCTCCTGGTTTAAAACAATACACAAACGGGTTAGATCTCGAATTGCGGATCTGGATTTGAACTCACCTTGAAAGGTTCGCCGTTGCGCAGCTTCTTTTGGCGCAGCTTGTCCAGACTGGGCGGCGCCACCAGCACCACATAAGGCTTGAGGTCGGAGGCGCGCAGCAGCTTGAGGCTCTGCGGATGCAGGTTGAGCACACAGATCTTGCCGCTGGCCACCACCGTGCGTATGGCCTCCAGTGATGTGCCTGTCGCGTACGAGAAGAATATGTTATTCGGGAATAGGCTATTTTTGGTCCGAGCAAACTCACCGTAGTAGGCCTTCTCGTATTCGCCGTGCTCCACAAAGCGGCGAGCCAGAATATCCGCCTCGAAGGCCTGACGCGTGATAAAGTGGTAGTCGACTCCGGGCACTTCACCCTCCCTGCGGGCTCGTGATGTGTCTAATAAAAATATCAAAACCAAGGCGTTAATTGGGATGTTTTTAATATTTTTAAAGGGTTTGGGTGGGGTTTTGTGGGGACCTATGGCTAGCAATGGCTCTGGGACTCGGTGGCTCTGAAGCGCAGCCCTTTACCCTTGACCTGAGCCTTGATCTTGGCCGGTTTGAGCCGCTCCTCCAGCAAATAGAAGACTGCCCGGCGGAAGAGAGACAGACATAGAAGTTTAAAGACGGGACACTCAAATGTGGTTGTAAACGATGCAGCGGCATTGCTCACATAAAGAGAGTTAAACACATAGCATACAGAACCCATTTAGCCCCATGGTTGCTGCACCGTTTAGAACCATCTTAACATCATCATGACTAGTTCCTCGGTTAATGGGTGGAGATATTCCAGAGTCCCAATGCTGGAGCCTTCACTTACGTGGCACTGCGGCGGAGAACCGCTCCGAGTCGGCCATCAGGCGCTGGCGCAGCTCATGTCTTCCAATGTTGGGCGGGCCGATGAGGACGATGGGCCGCTTGTGGGTGGCGCGGGGATAGTACAGGGCCACCTCCTCGTAGGTGAGTATCTCCTCCGGGTCCGTTTCATCCGGCGCCGTGGTGGCGTACAAGGGATACCTACAAGAACGGAGAGAACGTTTACAAATAAATTCTTTGCGGGGAAGGGTCCATCTAATTACCCCGCCTCAGAGCTGGCCTTCTTCTTCTTTTTGCGACCCTTGCGCGCACAAAGGAGGGTGGCTCCTTTGCTGCCCGATCCGTCCTTGCCCCGGGACCGGGCCAGGCCCGCCTCCTCCGCAATGGCCAGCTTCATGGTCTCGCGCTGATGCTGGAACGACTGACTAGGAATGAGACCGGCCAGGGTCTGGTCCTCCTCGCCCTCGCGATACGCCTGCCACCAGTTGGGATCCTCGCGGCTGATCACATGCAGGACATCGCCCTTCTGGAAACTGATGCCCAGCTCGCGGCAGGGTATGTACAGATCGTCCTCCGGATCGTAGTCGAAGTGCGCCCGTACATGCAGCACGGCAGTGTCGCGATGTGCTCCACCCAGTCCGGAGAGTGTGTTCCCGGTGGTTCCACCCATCACTCCGCCGGACGGTGGACTGCCCGCTGGGACAATCAGGAAGGTCAGAGTGCCCTGCATGGCGCCCAAGAGGGCGCACACCTCGTTCACCGTCTTGCCCCGCAGCTCCTGGCCATTGACCTCCAGGATCTCGTCGCCTTCGTGCAGCAGTCCCGACTTCTCCGCCGCCCCACCGCGCACAATCCTCCCGATGACCACCGCCTCGCCTTCGTTGCGAACCGTGGCGCCCAGCGGCTCCGTTGACTTCTCGATCTGTATGATCCGGATGTTGTCGTTCTGATCGTTCAGTGTGCCGAAGCACGCACTCATCGGCAGTGATACGGGCATGGACATGGGCATTGTGGCCAGCGGTGGCATGGGAACCGGCGGCGGGGATTCCCCGCGGGGCAGTGGCATGGCTCCGCGCTGCGCCAGTGGTGGCGGCACCACGGGCGGGGGCACCACCATGCCGAGGTTTCGCTTAGGTCCTGCCACCGGACTGCTGTGACCACTGAGTGTGGATCCCGCTCCTCCTCCACCGCCTCCTCCGATGGCCGGAGTGGGCGTGGGCGTGGGCGAGGGCGTGCCATCCGTGTGGTTGGCAATGCGATCGTGGGCCAGGAGCAGGCCCTCCATTTCGTGGCTGGTCAGCAGGTTGCCCAGCTCGATGGCCGCCGCCGTATTCGATTGCGTCAGCAGCTCCACGATGTCCTTCTGCAGTCCGAGGGCACTGTGATGCAGTGGGCCGGAGAGCCGGGAACGCCGTCGCTGGAGCACAGCCGTGCGGGCGGCCAGGACATGGGCCACACTGGCGCTGGCCAGGACACTGTGGGCGGCCGAGACGCGACCCGCCAGCGTGCTCAGCCCGCTCTTGCTCAACTGATTCTGCAGGCGGGTGAGGGCCGCTATCAGCTCGCCATAGCCTGGAAAAGGGAGCACGAAGTGGGGATTAGGTATTGGTATTTAGGCTTGCGAACTGCATGCACTCACCATCGATCTGCTCCGGCTGCGGCTGGTCCTCGTCGGGCAGATACGCCTCATTCTCCACGCCCACCACCTGAGTGGCCTGCGTTGCCTGTTGCTGCTGCTGCTGGGCCACCGCCTTTCCGGGCGTGGCCGTGTCCTGGAGCGCCTTCAGCTTCCGGGAGCCGCGAAGACTGTTCCGCAGGAACTCATTTTGCTGCGCTATGCGCTCCTCCTCCTCCCGTCGTCGGCGCAGTTGCTCCTGTTGGAATGCAACAAATGGGATGGCTTGGTTAGAGGGCGAACGAGTTCGATTGGGGGAGTTGGTGGGATGGAATTTAAAGTGGATGTGCAACTGGGGACCGCGACTGGGCGCTGACTTTTAAGTGGCGCACTTAATCCGCATTCGCCACCATCGCTAATTTAATTAGTGGCGCCCGAGCAGGGGCCACAGATTCCAACAAAGAAGACAAACAAGAGCGGCGATTCGGTGGAAGGCTACCCTGTATTCGCATGGCCACTGAAGTTGTGTTTAAGAAAGTATTTTATACTTTATATGTTTTTCAGTATTTATGATATATAATACAATTTTGATTTTGGTCTTTTGTCACTGCATTGTTTTACAATTAGTATGGTAAATATTATCTTTAGAGAGTATTTAAGGTGCCACAACTATATTGATTTAAATAAATTAAAAGACTTTAAATTTAATAGCGCATCTTCACTTTGATCACCTTGTTGATCTTGGCACACAAACGTTTAATTAGCCAATTTATATGTTAAAGTCACCGACGTATTTGAAAACTGAACAGGTTCTATCCGTTTTAATGGATTGTTGGGCGTTTAATATTCGGACTTATATCATGTAATTAATATACAAAGAACTCCAACCATCCTGACCATTTGCAGAGTATCAGTGCGACTGCAATGGCCCAAAACGGTATGGATTTAAGGTGGTTGTGCAGGTGGGCGTGCTTGTGGCCCACTTTGCAAACCCAAGCAAATTCCGTCGAGGGCCCGGCGATGAGTTAATGAGCGTAAAGGGTTGACAAAGGAAACTGGGGATAAAAGCGGAGCAGAGGTGCCGGTAAATGTTGCAATTGTTGCGGAAGCCCCTTAAGTGTTCGCCGTTCATTGGAATGGGGCGCGAAAAATGAAAAATGGAAAATTCGAGTCCAGTGGCTGCCAAACCGACATGGCCAGTAATTAAGATAATGTTATTCAGGCAAATGGCCTAAAACGTGCCAAATTTCCGATTCCGTGACCAACAAAGAGAATGAAATCAAATCGATGACAACAATGAAGAGGAAAAGTTCCCACTATAAAAAAAATAACAGAACGGCCACATGACAGAAAGAAAAAAAATAACTTAATTGAATAACAACAGAAAAGGCGCTCGACATTCCAAAAGGCGGAAGAGGCAAAGCAAAGCAAAGAACAGAAGAGGAAAATAACAATAGCAAAGCCACTAAAAAATGAATTCTGCTGAACTTGCATAATCCGAGCAGAAGAGAATCAGCAAAAATTTCACGACTTCTGCAGGGGGAGGGGGGTGGTCCGAGGAGGTCGGAATGGCTGAGAAACACCACTCAGCACCCCACACCTCCCCCTTCCAACCATCCAACCATCCAAGAAAACGCCATGTGAACCGAAACTGAATTTAACATTGAAACCTGAATGAAAAACGATGACAGCGGTTCGCAAAAAAGGCGTATAAAAATCAAACCAAAACAAAAATCGTTCAAAGTCACAGCATCGCAAAAAATGTGAATAAAAGAAAACTTAAGATAGTACGGTTTGACAGCCACTAGTTGTAATGCATCTAAAACTGCAAGCAATACAAAGTTTGAAATACTTAGGAATTAATTTTTTTAAAACTCTTAACAGGCTTTCCAAAAAAATGACACTGATCAACATAACTTTGGAAGTTAAAGAACTTTAAAATGATTCAATGGAAAAGTATTGGTGTGTACATATGTATCATATGTACAGACGCTTTTAAAAGGAAAAGGAGTAAAGAATATTTGCAGCTAAAAGCTCGTTTGAACTGCAATTTGAGAACTAAAGATAACTTTTAATTAAAAAATTCTGCGAAAACGACCTTGTACACAAACAAAGGTAATCAGTACTATGTATTTCCCAGTATAACGAAAGTTCATGTGCAGCGTAGGGATTTAAATTTCAGTTATAGCAATTAAAATGCCAAAGCCAACTCCCACGCAAATATATAAATAGACTGACGCAGAGCAAGTGAAGCCTAGAAAAGACCATCAATCATCTTGCACACCAACAACACCTTGGGTAATTGTAAAATATTATACAAAATAAAAGAAGGCATACTTTAAAGACAATAACAATTGTCGACGGCAGCGCCATGACATCATCATCGCCATTGCCAACAAAAGCCGGCATAAATAAATAACAAATATTGAACAATACGCGTACCGGGAAAATTAAAAATATATTACTGCCGATACCCTAAGTTGAGTGGGGTATACTCAACTCCCTCCTAACTTTGATATTATTAGGGGTTTGAGGGTATTTCGCTGCTCGTTGTTTAAAAATTCAGCATGCCATTACCGCTATCGCTTAGCTAAATTGTTTTTGCCTTTTTCGTTTTGTATTTAATTTTTATGGCTCGGCAGCCAGTTAGCCAAGTTGTCAACTGGTTGTTTTTGGTTCGACTGGTTTGTGCTGTGTAGTCGTTAGCATATATGCAGATAAAGCCAGTTGTCGCTCGCAACAAAGTATATATACACTGAGATCCAATTCGATTCAGCTACAATTTCCCTACTTTCATGGCACCCATCAATTTGTATCAGTTCATTTACCAAATATTTATATTTATATACTATATGCTCTCGTTTTCCTGTTGGTCACACCTTTTTGTTTTCTGTTTTAAAAATGTTTTTGGTTTAAAATGTTTAGTTGGGCAACCAGATATAAAGGAATGCATTACTAAACAAATTAAATCAATTAAGAAAGCGACTAGATCAGGGTCCAAACAGGTCAAAATACTTCCTATGACGCGGACATTCTATACACTTGCCTGTTGTTGTCGCAAACGCGTCGAGGATCGTTGGATTTGAATGCCGCGACGAAGGGCGGAGGCGCTGCGCTGGGGCGTGGCAGTGGATGAGGTCGGTGAGCCGACATATTGCTCCCGGGAATTGGGAGATCTGAAGCCCCCAGCGATTCCGATTCCATTTCCATTCATATCACAATAATCGCTGTTGTTATTGTTGTTCATGTGATTCTCCTTCTCATTCTGCTGCTGTTGCAGTTGCTGCACCGACAGCACGGCGAATTTGGTGGGCGATGTTGCTGCTCCTACAGCAGCAACTGCTGCCTGCCCGCCAGCAACATTGCTGCCGTTGTTCTCCAGCGTTATGTGCAAAGTGGACACGACCATTTTCGAATGGCACTTTCATCGATCTCAGTTTCCGGGGCGGCGACAATCTCTCCTAACAAACCGAAACAAAAACCGAAACCGAAACCGAAACTGTTACCAGCTGCAGCAGCAACTATGCAAATGGCCACGCCCACACCTGGGCAGTGCATAAATTTGAATAGGGAATTGGGTGTTTCAAATGAAATGCATCTTAATGCGCATTTCAGCTTAAATTGCTGCTGCTGCCGTTGCTGCTGCAGTGGATAAAAAGCCATAAAAAGCGAAAGTTGAGCTGGCCGAAATAGTTCTGGCCCAGACACGCATCGCCAGCACAGCAGCAACACGAACAGCAACAGCAGCAGCAACAGCACAGCAGCAACCGCTTTCCTTTCGACTCGTGCAATTTACAACTATTTACTTTAACACATTTGTTTATTTATGGGCTTTTTGTTATTGTTATTTTTTTCACTATTGTTGCTGCTGTCGCTCAACATTCAACGTGCCTGAACTGGGGAATGAGCCGTACTGCTGCTGTTGACGCTGCATTTACGCTTGGCACATCAATAACAATAAGAAGCACTCGCACCTCACATTCACATTCATGGCGAAAAAAAAAAAAAAAAAAAACAGTTCACTTCAACTGTTTATCATTTATATTAAAATTTTTCAGTTGCCTTTTGTAGGTATTTTCCGTTGTTGCTTTTTGGTCTGCAGGCAAATTAATGTCGTGAGTCAGAGCAAAGTCCAAAACACATGGGATCACTTCAGTGGAGTATGATAAAAATATATGGAAATGAACATATTTGCAGTATGCACCTCATATCTCATGGCTCATTGTTCCTTCTTGTGTTTATAATCACTGTATATTTATGTGCTTTCTTATTTAATTCTGTCCCTTCATTTACATAATTTCAAACTAATTTACATTGTGAGTCAGACAAATGACGAATAAACTAGCGATCACTGCAATGCAGCATGCAATAAGCATAGTTTGTTGCACTTTTTTAAAGCTCTATCTACATATTGCTTTCTAGTCCTTTAATGGATATTTCTTAAGTTCTTTATTAATTATTTAACTGGTCACTGCTCTGTGTAAGCATTTACAGTGATATTCGCAGTTTTATGTCTAGTTTTTTCATAGTTTTAGGTATGAAGAATTTAATAAATTTGCATATTATAAGCTTTCATCCTTGATCCTTGATGGCTTGCCAAAAAACCACCATATTTTCCTGATCTGGTAACACTGCTGGTCAAGTCCTGGCCACACTGCACCGCTTAATCCTTTGCCTTGTTGGCCTGGCACTTTGAAAGCTCCTTTATGCTCGTTAACCAGTGCCTGTTTGCGTTATTCCGGCCGCTTTTTTCAATAAGGTCTTCCACTTTTTTTCGGCGCATTTCATTTATTTCACATATTTTCAGTGGTTTTTGGTTTTTTTATTTTTTACTTTTTTGCGGTTTCGAGAGCAACTTTCCGTTATGGCTGCAACTGCCACGCCTGTTTCGCTGTTTTTTCCGTTGCTGCCCATAAAATGTTGTCCAATGCTGTTGCCGTTTGAGGTACTTGGAAATGGTTGTTCGTGTGGCGGTTGGTACGTGCTTTTTGGTCCCAGAATTTCTGCCAGTTATGGGCGGTTTTTGCCGAGCCGCGCCTTATTTGCATGACTCTGATTGCACAAAAACACACAATCTCAAACACATATTGTGGAATAATAAAAATAAAAAAATAAATAAACACACATCCAGTTCCTTTAAATCGGCTGCACTTCTGAGCAAAAGAATTCTTTTCCACGGGGGAAATGCATACATTTAAGGAGGTAATTTTGGTATTTCGTATTTCGTAGCAGACATACATATGCATATGGCCTTATCTAATCGGTTATCGGTTCTTTGTCACGCACTTAGCCCGAACAAAAAATAAAATGGGTGGAAAAAAATCAACAAAAATTGCGGCCGATCGCAGAACGCGTAGAAAAACAACTAAAAACGCCAACTGAAAATCATAACAAACCAGCGCCGCCAGACGACGTCGGCGTCGACTGAGGCAGAGCCAGAGGCAGAGGCGTCGGCAGAGCCACTGGAATATGTAGAAGGGGCCCCAGAAGAAAAGAGAGCGAAGAACAGGTGAGTACAGGTGAGAAAAGAGCCGGAGCCCGAGCCCAGGTAAAAATACACACGAACATATGTGTAAGCCGGCCTGGAGAGACAAATGTGCAAAAATGGAATGTTTAACTAATTCGCGAACATGCCCTGTCCAGAGACAGGGCTTAAAAGGGGCAAAAAAAAGGGGGTAATAACAGCCGTCAGTGGCAACCAGCAGTAGCAGTAGCAACCCTCTTCGGCCAGCAAACAAACAGAACGGAGCAGCAGTTCAAACAAGCAGGTTAAATTTAAACAATGTTGGGCCCTCTATTTATACAAGATTTACGATTGCGATAACGAGCGCGATAACATTGTCAAACATGATAAATCCAATAAGAATGCCTATTAATTATGACCATGATAAGGCCATGAGTGGGTGTAACATTAATGAGATGCTATTACAAAGCTGCGATATAGCTAAACTACAATTATTGCACCGATTTAGAGATAAGCTAATATATATTTGAATGTGAGAGGTTTGTAGTGGATGTCCCTACAATACCACACTTTATATTTCTTTTTGACATTAAAGAATTATAAATGGAAAGCTGATATTTCGATAATTGTCGAACCTTTAAAACAAAAAAAAGGCAACAAATGTTTCACATAAATTATTAAATGCATATAGATGCAACCGAAACTCATGCCAGCGAAAAAACTCTTCTAAATATCATCTACAATTCTTTCACTATAAAAACCGTGCGGTTACAGAGCTGATGTTAAGGGAAATAGCACAGACCCAAGCTTTATCTTTCATAGGTGAACAGCTTTTGAAATTTTTTCTAAGCTGTTGCTTTTAATTTTCACTTTTTCCGGTACGCACAAATGCATGAAGGTGGATTTTATGTGAGTTCTCATTATCCAATGTCCCCCTTTTGTTCCCCCATTTGTGGCTTCGCTCTCTTAATGAGCTTACATCCATAATCGCCACCCTCTCACAGTTTTCACACTTAAAAGTGTTATTTTTTTCCAAACACAGTGGCTGTCAAACTGTGCGCCACTAGTCGCATTCAGTTTTCAATTAATTACATTTAGCAAATGTGTTTTAGCTGGCACTCCATCTCTGTCTCATTTTCCCGTCCTTTCCCGTCTCTGTCGCTCCATTTATTTTTCTATCGTTCTGTCTTTGTCGGTGGGTGTGGCTAAGGGCGGATCGCAACAATTCGATTAAAAGTTGCATAATTAATCATTGCATTAAACAACTTTTCGCCTCCCCCTTCTCGTGTTTGCTTCCTGTGAAACAACGCCTATGGCAAATTTTCAATTCACTCTACCCTTCTGGTTACCCCGCCCCTGGAAATCCACCCACATGCCCTGAAGTCTTCCGAATGAATGCGAAATGTTTTACTTTTAAACAGTATTATAATTTCACTTCCCTCCACATATTGCCCCCTCTTTAACCAGCTTTTAAGTCCCCCTCCTTCTCTGTCCCTTCCCCTTTACACTTTCGAGTGCACAGACAGAAAAAAAGTTGTTGAGCAACATTTTTCACGCCCCCACACACACACAATGCTGTACTTTAAACTCAGCTACGCCCTTTTGCCTCCGCCCCTGCCCTCAGGTTTATTGTCTTTCGGTGCGGTAAACTTTTTAATAGTTTTACTAGTTAAATGTAATGGTCAGGACGGAGCAATAAAAATCGGGGAAATTTCTCTCTGGCTTTTATATTTTGTAATTTTTTCCGCTATCACACCGGCGATAATTACAGTTTGGCAGTCACTGTCGACGGTCAATGGTTAATAGCCCATCAAAGAACTAACAAAAACCCCAACGATTATTGGGGGGAACAAAAGAACATGGCTCAAACCGGAAGCATTGTCCAGACATTCATAAAAAAAACATTTATTAATACAGTCAGAGGGGGCACGAAGTAGAGGAAGTGGGTGCGTACCTGCTATGCATGTTAACAAGCTGCATTTGAATCGAAAGAAAATTCTAAACAAACGCTCTTCTATTGTTAATCACCAATTGCTTCATCATAGAGTTGGCAAAATAATGATTATAAATAGCTGAAACTGCGAACAAAAAAATGTTCATTTTATATTGTTGAAAAATGGGAAATGTACAAACCAACAAACTAATAACAATGCTTTCACACTGAAATAAAATAATTTTGTATAAAAATGTAATTGTAGAAAATCCTAACATCTCTATTTTTAAGGTTACAAATTGTATTATGGCCGTTAGAAGTTGAAATAGTTGACTATCTTATCACCACAAAACCAAAAACGACCGCTTTGTTGTGTAAAGCTATTTTCCAAACAATGTTTTGATTGTGGCAGTTAGCTTTCCAAAAATCTGGGAAATATTTTAGTTTTTTTCAGGTACTTTCCTTGTTAATATTAAATTTGAAAGCCAAGTCCACAGTTGCACAGTTTTACACTTTGAAATTTCCATAGCCTAACGCCTGGGATGGGGTCACAAATGACAGTTTGAGAGTCACATCACTCACCTGGTATTTCTTGATGCTGTCCAGCTGCTCCAGAGTGGGCTCCACTATCTGGGCGATCTGCTGTTGCTGCAGCGGATGCGGTGGACCGCCGCTGCTCGCATTTCCCGGCGCCCGGCGATCCGGAAGTTGGGGGGCAGGAGAGCAGTTGACCAGACGCCCATCCTTTTCCACCCGTAAGTGATCACGGGGCGGCGGTACGGGCTTCGCATTCCCATTGAGCTGCACGGAAAGAGAGGGAAAACGGGGGGAATCCCATTAGTTATGCACCATATTGCGTATCCTTCAGTGTATCCTTGTAAGTGTTTTTGAGACGAGCATGTGTGTTTGTGTGCTTATGAGAGTGTATGGCTGATGGTTGTTGGTCATTAAAGTTGAATGAGTTTGTTTGTTGCCAGTGTTCTGTGCATTTCCCTGCGAGATGAACAGGCCTTTACATTAAGTGAAAAGTGTACATGAAACCTTCACCTTCTGCCAGTGACGTTAACTGATTTTTATCAAGGGGGTTTTCGAAAATGTTGTATTCTTTATGAATATTTACAGCATCTTATTATTCATTTTATCATTTTATTACAAAACTTTTCAGGGCCCTCCCTTTTTCTCGTCCTCATGGTAAACTAAAAGTTGGTTTTAAACAGAGAAAACTTGAGCTTTAAACCTAAATTTATCATGGACGCGAGAAAATTGATCTTTTAATTTCCTAAAACTAGACAATTATATTTAAAATGTAAAGATAAATCGTTCCTTGCACATACAAATCGTTTTACAAATATTTTGCTTTCTAGTTAAAGACTTTTTTATTTAAAAAGAATTACTTTGCTGCCTAAAACCAGACAGTAAAAAGATTTTTTAAAAAGGCATTAAGCGTTCCCAGCCCCCAAACACCTACGCCACTGTGTGTGTACCCTCTTTAAAAAGAAACCCACCCTTCATTTTGCGTCACTTTTGGTGTCGCTTACTGGCATGAATTGAATACAGTCCGTATTTAAATGCATTTACTCTTTGATTCCTTTTATTCAGCGCATTGTCAGTTGGAAAAAAAAAAAAAAGAATATGGAAGGCGAAAGAAAAGTGCTCATTTCGCTTTTGTTCTGCAGCCATTGGAAAATTTATCGAGAGCAATTTCATATAAACGGCATTTATTTTTCATCGCCTGCAAAGAGCAAGCGGGCGAGCTGCAAATGATGAAATAAGCGGAACAGCGGGCGGTGGCACCACCACCACCATCACCACCACCCACTGAGTGGGGTGACTCTGGTGGGGGGTGGTTGGGTGGTTGGGTGGTTGGATGGCTGAGTAGGCAGCTTGGGTGCCTCAATGTTGTTAGGATTATGCCCCGCTAACGAGGCCAACGCAGCGGCTCTGATGCCGTGAATTAGGCCAACCGGCTGAACAAGGTGACAGGCTGAGTGGGTGTGGTTGGCTCCCAGGGACCGGGTAACAAATGGGGGTTACGGGTCAACTGGGGGACCTGGTCCGACCTGCACCACCGGATGAAGAAAGGGAATCAATGCGTATGCGGCTGTACAAAAGGGGTTAAGTGGGCGCCGCATTAATTAGCCGAGTTGAGTGAAAAACGAGGCGCCACCTCGCGTTTGCGAACGCTTAAATTATCGATCCATATTTTATAATACTTTATATGTGCGTTTAGGTATCTGGGATTCCACAATTTCCGGTTCTCTGGTCATTTAATGCAATATTCATGAAACCCATTATACTGTCATGTTGTTTCTATTTTAAATCGCTATTACCATGGATTTGTATGTTGTTTTTGTGAAGGTTTTATGCTTATGTTGTCTTACTGCCTTTCACACACAATTATTCTGGTGGCTAAAAGTATGGATTATTGTGCATAATCCATCACAATTATGGTGTTTATGCCTATTTTGCTAATTAATTTATGACAATCATTTAAAGAATATATAACTGTGACATTTAACTGTTTTTGTAATATGCTGTTTGAATGGCTAAAAAAAGGTATAAAAAGTTACAATTATTTATATATTTTGATTCGACTTTTGATTTTTAATTGTGTGTATTAAAGTGTTTTTTTAAGCATCTACCAAATAACATAAATTGTATGAATAGAAAATGAAATAAATCCTCTACAACTCTTTAGAAGAAATATTAATTGATTCCTTTAAATGCAATTTATATTTTTTTAGGAGTGTAGGGAATGCCAACTAACCCCCAAAATTAATCAAATGCCAAAACACATTACTGAAACACACTAAACTGAAAGATACTGACAGATTGGAGAATCAGAGAAGAGCGAAACGGAGTGACAGGGAGATAGCAGAGAAGAGTAGAGTCGCCAGTGAAAAGTGGAGACGGATAGCGAGTACAAATGCAATGTGGTATACCTCATCGGCCACCCGCCTCGCATCACCAACGTCAGCAACACCAGAGACCGCAGCAGCAACACTTGCGGTTGCACATGCTGATGTTGCTGCTGTCGGTGATGTCGCTGATGTTGCTGCTGTTGCTGTTGCAGCTGTTGCAGCTGCAGGCGACACGCCCAGCGAGGAGAGCGTGGTGTGGGCGGTGGAGGCGCTGCCGTTCGATAAAAGTGATCCGCGAGAAGAGAGATGGGCAGGTGGCGGATATCTTGGCGGAGTCTTCACCATCTCGATAAAGCTGTCTGGAACATCCACGGGCAACTCGCGATGCTTGGCCATCGGTGGCAGCAACGCCGAAACGGGAGCAACCTGATGTTGCTGCTGCTGCTGCTGGCTCACCTCGTAACCAGGGGGCGCCAAGCTCAAGTCATCGGGCACCGTTGAACTGCTGGTGGATGTGGCACTGGCAATGTTGCTGCTGTGACCGCTGCTGCTGCTGCTGGTGTGCATCGAGCTGTTGCTGCTGTTCAGCGAGTTGCTGTTGCTGCTGTTGGTGACCCCGACCGCTGCATTTGTTTTACTCGACTCGGCCGTGTTGTTGCTGGTATTGCTGTTGCTGTTGCAGTTACTATTGCTGTTGCTGCTGCCATTGCCGTTGCTCGTCGCCTGATGTTGCTGGTGCAGGTGACGATAGGCGATGCTGCCAAAGGAGTCCAGGGTATGTTTGCTCATCACCTCGTCGAAGGCGCTCGACGAGGGCGAGGCAGATTCCTTGCGTCCTTGATATAGACCATCCACAACGCATAGGAAGTCGTCCGTGATGCTGCTGTTGTTGCTGTTGCTGCTGCTGCTGCCGACGGTGTTGGTGTTGCTGTTGCCGCCGTTGGCACTTGCATTGCTATTGCCATTAGGATCGCTACTTAGTGTTGCCTGCAACTTGTGGCTGGGCGTTTGTTGTTGGGCGATTTGTGTTGCTGCTGTTGCGGTTGCTACTTGCAATTGTTGCTGATGTTGCTGTTGCTTCTGCTCAAGTTGTTCGTGTTGTTCCGATTGCAGGCAATTTTCATAGTTTTCGATTTGTTCCAATTTGTTTTGTTGTTTTTGATTGTACAGATTTTGTGTGGCCACATCGAGTGCAATTGTTGTTGTTTTTGATGGGTGTTGTTGTTCATGATGTGGTGATGGTGGTGGTTGTTGTTGTAGTTGTTGTTGAAGTTGTTCATGTTGATGTGAAGAATGATATGCAGCAATTAACACAAAGTTAGCATGATCATTGTTAGTCATAGCTGTGATTGTGGTGGTGTTGGTGGTGCTTTTCTTGTATTTCTGTGTGCGTGTGGGTTAAGTGGTGGTGGTTGTGGTGGTGCATGTGGTGTGGTGAAAAGAGAATGGATGTGTGTGTGAATGATTTGAATATGAATTGGAGTGGTTGTCATAAGTTGGTTAGTTGCATTATGTTTGGGTGGTTGTTGTCTTAGATTTGGTTTTCAATTGAAGTGGGTTGTTGTTAGCGGTTGTCGGTTAAAAAATACGATGTTTGGTAGTATTGACAGGTTTTTTTTTAAATATTGGTACAATATTGGACTTTGATGGTGGAAGTTGGTTACCGTTAGTTGCTTTATACTTGGGTGGTTGTTGCTTCAAGGGTTTTCTAAAATCTTAAGGTAAGCTTTTTGGTGGTTGTTGTTTTGGACTCGGTCATTGGGTATTGGTTGTTGAAAATATTAGATTCTTAAGTTCAATGGGAAGTACAACTTATTCTATGTTAAAAAGCTGAGTGGATATTTCTTGCTGGATTTCTGGATGTTTGTCATTTGGGATTTTAGTTGTTATCAAATTTCCACAGGAAGTGTTTTTTCTTTTGGATCAAATATTTTAGAAGCGGTTAAAGTGGTTTATTTTATACATGGTTTAAATGTTTAGTTCGATTTGTAGGTTATATCTTATTTGTTAGTGACCTACTTTTTGTTGTATGTTGTTAAGGGGATTTATGGGTTCTCAAAATAGTATGGGTTTAGTTAAAGCGGAAGTTTGTGGAGTTTTGTTAGTGATTCTTGGTTTTACAAATACTGCTGGGAATTTCGCAAAGTTATTGTTGGCTTATGGTTTCTTCTGGCTTGGAACTTGAGTGCCAGTGCTTGTTGTGGCTGGTGTGTGTGTGGGTGGTTGGTTTTTGTTTCGGATTACGGATTACGGACTACGGATTACGGATTGCTGGCGTGCTTACCTGCGGTGGACGGGGAGGCGGATATCTGGGTGGCGTCTTGTTACGTGCGATGAACGTGTCCGGACAATCGACGGCCATCTCACGGTGTGGACCTGAACGAAGCAAAACAGTTCCACTCGGGTCAGTTCAATGGATGGCGAAAGGGGGGGTGCATCCCCACACATTCAGACACTCACCGTTATCTTGGTTCACGGACAGCATGGTCAGCATTTCCTGGTCAATCTCCCTGATGTCGCCCGAGTGCGTGCGGTAGTGTTGCTGCTGGAGCGGATGTTGCTGCTGTAGCTGCTGCTGCAGTTGCAGCTGCTGCTGGTGGTTCAGGTGGTGCTGGCCGCTTATGTAGTCATCCGGCAGACATGGCTTCAGGTCGTCCCCGTCCAGCACAACAATGCTTGAGCCGGAGCGCCGGCGATTCCTGTCAATCGGAAGTAGAAGAACGGTAGAATCTGTTAGTAAAGGCCACAGGCACTGAGCGATTTCAGGTTTGATCCCCGCCAGAGCAAAGGATTTCCACTGTCACTGACTGATGGATATGCTAAATGCTTAGGGATATCTTGACAACAGCGAAAATATGTACCTTTACTTTCCCTGTCAAATATTCCTTATTATTTATTGTTGATACGGTTTAACTAAACTTTATTACATTTAAGAAAAATTCGAAGTTTTTTAGAGTACTTTTTTTGTACCTTGCGGATGGTTTAATAATTTTTGTCAGAAGTTTTGCAACTCAGTGAAGAAGACGTCACCGACTTCAGCATCACCTGGATATTCGATCTAGACATGTCCGTCCGTACGTCTGTCCGTTTGTTTGTTTTCTGTTTCTGTTTGTCTTTTTTCTATGGCTCCCATAGGAACAAGCCGAAAAATTAATTTAAAAATTAAAACTTCGTTTTTTTAACAAATCTAGTATTACGTTTTTAATTTTAAGAAAATGTGACGACCGTAAAAACGATCGATGACTTTGTTTAGAGGTTTTAGATCAATAATGTTTCAAGCTATTACGAATAAGAAACCTCTACAAATTTTAATAATTTAATGGCACTTTTTTTTTGGGTGCACTATTTGAATGCAAATTTGCTGCTTCTCTCGATAACAACCTCCATTTAATTTCGGCTCAGGTGGAAATGGCAGTTTGAAAGTCACAGGCCGAGAATTGGATGGATGAACGGACAGACTGCCCCAGACCTCTTTTATTATTTCAAAAAGTTATCCGCACAAAGAGACTTCGGGGGTATGGCCATGGATTAGGTATAGGAAACTTGAAACTGGAACGCTCCCCAAAAACTTTGTTATAACTTTGCACTTTTGCGTGGCTCTTTCATTAGGCAAGGTGGCAGGGGACATGACTGGTTTGAAGGCAATTTGCGCCTTAATTTGTTCGGCTTTTGGATTATGGGCTTATGGGCGGTAGCGACAGTGCTGGTGGATGCCGATGTGGATGTGGATGTGAAGGTGGGCCAAGTCGGCTGGCTAATTGCAAAAAGCTCAAAGTGGATTTAATGCCGGACCAGCCTAGAAGTATGCACTGCCTTTCAGCCGTCACCCCCAATCGCTTTATCGCCCTTTTCCAGGCGCTGATGCGACAAAAGCAATTTCAGCCGCCGCAGCCTGGCAACGACATCAGAGTGCAGTCGTAACCCCAACTCCGTCTCCATCTACGTCGCCACCCCCCTCCCTTTGGTCCCTCTGGATCCTGATGAACGTCACAAGCAGCAGCAGGGGAGCTGCAGTACGTGACCCACCCACAAACAAAGCAGAATATCATATTGAGATTTCCAGTTCAAAAAACATTCTTTACATAGCTTAATGTCTTAAATTATTACAATTAAAAGTATTTTTTTAGCAATGCAAACTTTATTTAAAAGGGTCAATTAACCATAAGTAATTTTAAAAAAAATTGTCAAATATAATTTTTGGTTCTTTCTTTAACACTTTCTAAAAAGGTAATTTAAAAAAAAATTTTATTTTTTAATGCACAATTTATGGTTGTGCCCCGGTGACCAGAAAACAAATTTATTTTCGATTATTCTTAAGACAATTGGCAATCTCTTTAACAGAAAAAAATTAGTAATTTTTTGAATTATACACAATTTTTTCGTTTTGAATTTTTTGTTTTTTTTTTTTTGTCGAAAACATTCAAATATTATATTCATTTAATAATGTTTTTAATGCAGATATATTATTTGACTTTTCTTGGGATTATAAAACCGTTAAGCATTTCAGATTTCACAATCCTTTAACAGAGATAAGAACGCGTGAAATTATAACCTTTACAATACCACAATAACCATTCCATTATAATTAAATGATCGATATTCTTTTCTGTGTGCACCCAGAGCTCCACTTTCTCCTTATCCAGCATTTCCTCAGCTCTTTTCTCATAGAGAGGGCCTTCCATACAATGACGGTGCAAGGCATTAAAAACCGATTTCTGGAGAATGCAACGACGACAAGATGGCCAAGATGGCTCCCTTACGGCCAAGAACAGGGAGATGAGATGGAGATGGAAATGGAGATGGCGATGGCGATGGAGGGAATGTGAGTCCAACACGAGACAACGACAACGGGCGAGACAATTCAATTTGCGTAACAGCAGAAGACCAGAAATGGGAGGAGAACCAGCTGGAGAAGCTCGAAAAGGGGGCTTTAAAGCGGCTCCAAATGGGGGTCTGAAACGGAAACGGTTTGGGGGGGGGATGAGTGATTGGAGTCAAGTTAACGGACAGTGCAAATGAGTCGAACAGACGAGAAGAAAAGACGGGGGATTGGCGGCATGCGGAGCGGGGTGAAAACGCGCATAAACGAATTAAAATGCCTTTGGCTTTGACATCAAGAACAGACCAAGGCCAGTCGTCTGGCAACAGCAGCGATATTAGCAACAACCATTGCATCTACGGCAGCAACATCAGCAACAGCAACTGCAACAGCTGGTCAGCTAGCCCACTCCTATTTTTATCCCCACACCAATCTATAGACCTTTGAGTAGCAATTTTCTCAAGACATTCGATTAGTCCCGTAGAAAAAAGTTTTTCAGCTCTTTTTTCTGTAGGTTCCTTTTAGCTATGTATCTTTGTTTATAATTTCTTTAGGAGCTTTGACTAATTGAAAATGATTTCAAATACAATAGTTAATTAAATGTTGTACCTTTGGGGCATAAAATATAAGAAATATAAGAATGTAACAAATTATGTATAAACCACTTTCAAACCCTTAAAAACTTGCAACTAAAAAGCGCTTTTCAGAGATCGAATCAATTCAATTATGGCGCATATATACATACAAAAACATTAAACATCAAAACTGTTCGCCAAGCAAATTAGTGACGAGGATACGAGTGCCATATCAATCAGCTCGTCATGTCATTGTTTTGCCAGCAATTAGCAGCGTCCATAGCCGGCAGCTATCTGTCACGCATCTGATTGTCACCACGACATTCCCTCTCTAATGACCCCATTGGTATTCGCATACCCATTCCCATTCCCATTCCCATTCCCCAATCCCCATTCCCCAAGCCTCAATTCCGGCCCCATCCATATCTGCATCTGAATCTGTATCTGTGTCATAACAAGCAGAACAATGCGAAATACCCACAAATATCCCCCATTAAACCCCCATCCCCCACCATGCCAGCCCCCTGCTGGGTCATCAATAACCCGGCGGGGGAGTGGGCGGTGGGTGGTGTCCAGTGGGTGGGCGGTTAAGGAAACCAACGGAGCTGTCAAAGTGGGCAATGCAAGACCACAACGATTCATACATCGATGACAAGGCAGTGGCATTTTGCTGCATTGCCATGTCCTTTTGTCAGTTGCAGAAATATTTTAAAAATTTCCTTGGCAAAATCTAAATACTTTTTATTATCTGCACAATGTGGCTTTCATTGTATTGCAAATTCGGACTTTTATTTCATTCAAATTGTTAATCATACAACTGCCCTAATTTGTTTTATAGATTGTAAGTCAATATAAGTAATCAATGATTGTAATTCGGGACATTATCTTTTTGTAGGATACAAAATCACCATTAACTATTTCCCAACCTATTTGATAAATACACAGATTTTACCTTGAAATTTATATAATTTAATTAGTTTTTTTGGGAAAAAATTGGCTTACATATTATTTACTTTGCAATTGTATTTACTTTAGTGTTTAAATAAATAAAAAGAAGTCAACCTCAAATTTACTCAAACCAATAATACATTTTTTTTAAATTAAATAATCTTTTAAATAACATGAAACCATTGGCGCTGTGATTGAAAGTCACTTTCCGAACTTTAAGTTAAAAATGCTTTCCTTTCTTTTTTCAGTGCATATCGCCGTGGGTTAAGGATGGCAATTAGCCAGGATGGAGGGCGGTCGGAAAAGGGGGCGGGGCAGCGAGCCGGCGATGAAAGGAGGCAGATAAACGCAAACAACACATGGGGGAAATTATTAAATGTATTTTGCATTTCCAGCTGTCCAGCTGTCCGTCTGTGTATATTTGTATCTGCATCTGCATCCGTATCTGTGTGTGTATGTGTGTGTGTGTGGGTATGAGCAACTGACCAGAAGAGCGACACACATTGTTGTTGCTGCTGCTGTGTTGCTGCACGACAGCTACATGCGACATGTTAATTGTTTACGGCCAGCAAGCGAGCACGAGACAAAAGTGTGGGGGTTAGGGGTTAATTTACAATTGCGGACAATGGAATGGCTTACTGCTTACTAAATGCAAGCACAGTATTAAATTTTATACCTATGTAAGACTATACAACAAAGAGTTAGTGGCAACATAATTATGCTAAAAATAATGCAAGATAGGTAAAAAGGTCAGTAAATATTGATATAAAAACAAATTTTGGTAAAAATATTAAATGGTTTTTATTTTTGTTAACCAAAAACCAGATTTATTCTCCTATCTATCGTCCAATTATGACTACTAAGTTGTTGACCATTTCAGGCTTACATACTTGATGCTATTACTCCAACCGCAATTGCATTCAGAGCGACACGAATGATAGCAACAGGTGGACGGGGAAGTCCCCTACACTCCGATATCGCCAACGATTTTGGGAGGGTTCATGCTTGAGGGCATGCAACAAGTGGCTGGAACAGGTGCAGTCCGAGAAACGGGCATTGGGAATCGGGAACACGGAGCTGGGAATCGCTGGGGGGCGGGACCGGAAGAGGCTTATTTGCAGCGGAAGTGGCAGCCATGAGTCACCCGGTTGCCTCGAATTCCAGACCACAATTCCCATTCTTCGTTCCCCATTATCCAGGTAGAGCCTCTTCAATCAATCGACCACAATTTGTGGGTGTAACCGTGGTCAGGCACAGAACTCAATTTGATTTACAACTCAGAACCGAGAACCGAGAACTGGGTTCTCTCGAAAACTCGAAATGAAACTCAAACTGAGAGATCGTAATGGATTGCGGT